GCAGAACAAACACTAAAAATAAGCCTAGTGAATTATATTGTCTAAGCAATGGCTAAGAAAGTTTCATTGTGAAATTAAGTTTAAATTTCATAATATGAATAACTTTTTTAAAAATTTTATTTATTATTTTTATTTTATGTGTATGAGTATATCACCTGCATGTAAGTAAGTACACCCATGTTGTGCAATGCCTGCGGAGGTCAGAAGAGGCTGTTGGATCTCCTAGGACTGGAGTTACTGACAGTTGTTAGCTACCATGTGGGTGCTGGGATTCGAACCCAGGTCTTCTGCAAGAACAACCAGTGTTCTTAACAGCTGAGCCATCTCTCCAGCCCCGTAACCTTCTTCTTTACAGACACAATGCCTGTTACTCAGCATTGAGCCTCTCTGGAAGATTCAAGGTGCACATCTCTTATATTTATAATTAGTATGAAATAAGCTTGCTAATATGAACCATGCTTCTGCCAATAACTATTTCATTTTTACTCTTTGAAATAAAGTGCTGTGAGACCCATCCTTTCTTTCTTGATGCACTGGTTCTTTCTCTGGATACCAGGCACACTGCATCTTGGTCAAGTACTACACCACAGGTTAGAGATACACAGTTGATTACAACAGTCTTTAACTATGAAGAGCTGACTATCCTACTGGAGAAGATAAAGGAAGATCAAGGCTTATGCATGTAAAACTGAAGTATGCACATGAAAGGTGTGTCCAAAGGAAGAATAATGATCTCTTCCTAGAGAAGACTACCCTGAAGAGCTAAGTAGATATATGAAGGCAGAGAAGGTACAGTGGCTCATAGAGGCCACAAGTATAATACAGAAGACGGGGAGAGCAGCCAGAGAGGAAGCGACCTTAAGAAGCTACATTTGGGAACAGTGGAAGCTATGTTCACACAGCTACCGTTATCAGGAACAACAATCCTCATGAGAGGAATGGAAAGGAAAGATAGCTTATGTACAGATTCCAATCTCAGCACTGAACACACTGCAACAGGTGGCTGGGCCTAGAAGCCCAGCTAAAGGGAAATCATCTGAAGAAAGCAAAGGTAAAGCCTCTGTCTCTAGGCAGACCTCTCCACTCCTCACTCGACATGTTCCTTATAACAGCAGGCCTGTCATTTATATGCTATTCTCGATGTAGTGATGTTCCCAAAATCAACCCAGAGTAAGTGCTACATAGTGTCAGGTGATGTTTCCCACTCTTGTTATACACCTAGAAAATACATGCTCAAGAATTCATTTAAGACCTTTATTTTGAGAGGCTGTAGAGATGCTCAGTTGATAAAACGCCAGCTGCACAAGTAAGAGGACCTGAGTTCAAAATCCCAGCATTCACATAAAAGCAGAGTATAGCAGCAAGCTTCTGTAACCCCAGCACTTGGAGGACAGAGACAGGTAGATCCCTGAGCTGTCTAGTCAGTCTAACCAAATCCATAAGTGCCAGGTTCAGTGAGAGGCCCTACTCCAAAAAGGTGAAGTAATCAAGGAAGATACCCTAAATTGACCTCTGACCTCCACATGCTTGCATACACAAGCATACAAGCACCCGAATGTATACCAACACGTATATACATGTACTTCAAAAAGGACATAAACCATACATATACACACACATACATTTTTAAAAATATTCTTTTGACCAGGTACACCTTTAATCCCAGCACTCGGGAGGCAGAGGCAGGTCAATCTTTGTGAGATTGAGGCCAGCTTGGTCTACATAGTGAGTTCCAGGCCAGCTGGGGCTATAGGGAGACCCTATTTCAAAAAAATAAAACAAATCACAACAACAACAAAAGACTCTGAGACAGGTAAGATGGCTCAGCAGGTTAAGTCTGCTAAGCTGGATGACCTAAGTTTGATTCCCAGAACCTACAGGTTATGAAAGAAATGACTCCAGCAAGTTATCCTCTAACCTCTACATGTGTGCCATGGCACACAGATGACTATACTCACACACTCACATACTAAATAAATACATAAATAATAAAATAAATATATTTATAAAGACTATTTTCTTTTTTAATATTTTATTATTTGTATATTTATGAGGTACTGCCTGCATGTGTATTAAGTGCACCCGTGTTGTGCAATGCCTGCAGAGGTCAGAAGAGGACCCATGGAACTGGGGTTACAGCTGTTATCCACCATGTGGGTGTTGTGAATCAAACCTGGGTCTTCTGCAAGAGCAGCCAGTGTCTTAGCCGCTGAGCCATCTCTCCAGGCCCAATATATATATATAATTAAAAATCGTGTGTGTCTGTGTGGGTTTGTGCACATGAGTCCAGTGCTGGAGTTACAGGTTACTGTGAGTGTGGGTGCTGGGAATGAACTTGGGTCCTCTGGAAAGGTAGTATGTACTCTTAACCACTGAAACATTTCTCTAGCCCCACAAAGACTAATTTCAACCACAGTCAGTCATACTCTTGGGCACTAGAAGGTCAAAAGTAACAAGACACTGTGCCTTGGGATCATCCTATGCAATATATAATGCACACTGTTGGATGATCATACATTTCCTTGCTAGTCTGGAAGCCTTTAAGAACAGAAACTAGGAGGCTGGAGAGATGGCTCAGAAGTTAGAGCACTGACTGCTCTTGCAGAGGACCTGGGTTCAAATCCCAACACCCACATAGCAGCTAACAACCACCCGTAACTCCAGTTCCAGGGGATCCAATACCCTGTTCTGACCTCACCTCTGTGGGCATTGCAGGACACTGGTGCACTTATGCACATGCAGTCTATACACTCACACACATAAAACGTAATAAAAAAAAAAAAAAAAAAAAAAAGAAACTAGCTAATAGTAAGCATTCAATTAAGGATGGCAAAAAAAAAGAATTATCCCACCAAATTCTTCTCCATGGCTCCAAGCTAGCAGAACAGAGAAAATACCCCAACTGCCACTATTTTCATTCTATATGACAATAGCATGAAGCTGCTCAACTGGCTTCTCACTAACAAAATCCCTGACCCTGAAAGGCACATAAAATCAAACACCAGGGGGCTGGAGAGATGGCTCAGCGGTTAAGAACACGGACTGTTCTTACAGAAGACCCGGGTTCAAATCCCAGCACCCATATGGCAGCTAACAACGATCTGTAACTCCAGTTCCAAGGGATCTGACAGCCTCTTCTGTCCTCCGGGGGCACTACACGACATGGGTGCACTTACCTACATGCAGGCAATACATGCATACACATAAAATAAAAATAACAAATAAAATAAATTTTTTAAAAAATCAAACACCAGAATCAGAGGGGCGTGCACTGATTCTATTTGTTAGTTAGTTAGTTAGTTAGTTAGTTAGTTAGTTAGTTAGTTAGCTAGCGACTTGTTTTGGGGTGGTACCCTGGAGATCCAGACAGGGCCTGTGCATCTAGGCAAGCTCTCTACCACTAAGCTATACTCTTGACCCACTGAATTTACATTTTAAGTAAATGGTTGCCCATGCCCAGAAATTTGCTGAATAAATATAATAGTGCCAGAGTACACACACACACACACACACACACACACACACACACACACACACTCCAGTTTGAAAAGAAAGAAACATTAATCTCCCCTTCCCCAAATACATGAATAAACCTCTCTACAAAACTTGGACACTTGGGGCTAAGATCTCATCTCCGTCAAGTGAACAATATAAACATGCACTGTCCTAGCAATGGCTGAAATAGAAGAGACATTTTCCTCTAAAAAGAAAACGAAAGAGAGTTCCTGTTTAATCAAAAAGTAAATAACAACTGACATCCAAGTCTAGTCCCCTGGGCAGGTAGTGTGTGGTCCTGGCTACTGCCCACGCCTGAGAACAGCTGCACATAGCTTGGCTCCAAGGCAGCCAGTTCGGCCCCCTCCGAGGGCTCTGTGCAGTTAGCCTCCAGTGCCCAGGCCAGAAATGCTACGCTAGGAACAGAGGGGGTTGACCTCACTGATTAGGAATGACAATGATGAGATCTCATCATCCATGGAGAGAAATGCAAATGAGCATAGTCCAGGCCAACAGTGAGCAAAGGAACTTAACAGTTGGGCCCTCTTGTCCTAGTGTAGTGTGTGGCCTTGGAGAATAAGGTCTGTGGGGAAAGTCTTTCACTCAGTTAGAAGATGAAGGAAGTGCAAAGACTAGCACAGCAGAGACCTACCCTTTCTGGAATTTTATCCCTGGCCCAGCCCAAGCGTGGGGCCCTGGTTTTGTCATAGGCGCCTCCCTGCTTGCCAGCCTGGGCTTGCTCCACATGAGCAGAGAGAGACAGGAGGCAGGCACCCCGACACCTACTTAACAGAGGCAGATGGAGAGAAGAGAGTGTGTGGGATGCCTTTACCTCCCCCTCTGGAGGCGCCCAGCAGGAGCCTACAGAGCCAGCAGCTCCAAAATCGGATTTCCACACATCCTCCCATCCCAGGACGCCTCACTCCTCTGGCAGGAGGAAACAGAGCATTAAGCGAGTGTGGTTCTGGTGTGCAAAGGGGATTTCAGAAGATCTGAAGAAGCCTTCTCACAGGAGCCTGCACTTTTCTTAAATCTCTACAGAGGCAGCCAGGTTGGGAAGAAGTTATTCAGACACTGACCCAAAGAGGGCAAAGGTGTTACCTTGAGGAGGACACAATCAGCATCTGCAGGCTGCCCTGAGCCAGACACATATTTTATTAATAATCTTACATACACAAAATGTCTACAGGAAAGCCTAACAGGCTAATTTCTGACAGCTCAAGATAACAGCAGGAGGGACTAAAGCCCTCTGACTCTAGCTTCCGTATACTACTCAAGAGCAATGGTCCCTTCCCACCCAAGGGATGTGATGCAAATAAATAAATACAATTATCTGCAGAACTTCAAGTGCAAGAGCACTGTGAAGTCCTTCTCCCCAAGTGCAGTGACTTGTAGGAAGATAGGAAAATAAAAAAGAACAGCTGGAAAACTTAATTACAGAACACAGCACAAAAGCTGACACTGTTCCATAGAACTAGTCAATGGCTGAAGCCTTTCACCCTTACCTTAAGATGCAGAAGCAGCTCTTGGCTCCTGAAGATAAGCGGCAGAACCCGAATCTCTGTTTGCTGTCAATGTCAGTGAGCACGAACGTGAAGTTCTGGCCAACTTGGCTAACTGTGAGGCTGCAGCAAAGAAAACAAAGGGAGAAATGAATGTGCACTAAGTTTCTGGATAAAGTATCTAATCACCACAAGTCATTGAACCTGTAACATTTCCTCTGTGGAACTCTTTATAAATGAGCTTAAAATTTACACACTTCAGTTGGGTGTGGTGGCGCACACCTTTAATCCCAGCACTCGGGAGGCAGAGGCAGGCAGATCTCTGTGAGTTCAAGGCCAGCCTGGTCTACAAAGTGAGTTCCAGGACAGCGGGAGCTACAGGGAGACCCTGTCTCAAAAAAAAAAAAGCCTGTTCTAGTGACCACCAGAAATCAGTAAATATCGTCAGTACCTTCCAATGAGTTAGGCTCTGAAGTAGTTGGGTCAATGAGTTTAGGCTCTGAAGTAGTTGGGTCAATCGGCCATCAATGCTAAAAGGAGCACTCTACCTCATTAAGAGGAAGAAAGTTGGGACAGGCAACTGCCAAGGTACAGGTGAGAAAGTAGCACAAAGCTGGTTTTTAAGCCTTGCTCTAAATCTAATGGTCACCCCAGTTTGCTGTCAGCAATGCTCACATGGTAATTACTCTAGTTTGGAATCTACAAGTGACTACAGCAGCAGAGTTCAAGTGGCCACTATGTGTCACCCACAGTGAAATCCTTGATGTACACCACTTCATTTATTCTCACAATAACCTTAGAATTTCAGTGATGCTCCCATTTTACAGAAAGGGACACAAAGGGCACTAAAGAATTAGGTAGGGCATTGTTTCTCAGCCTCTTGGCTAATATCAAGTATAGTATCTCTTCTTCTCAGTTTAATACCTGACACATCCTCTATCCAAGGACAATATTGTAAATAGATATTTGGAACTAGGAGATGGAATAGGAGCTTCCTCCATCCACTCCAAGCATCGACCCAGTATTGCATTACCTCCAAGAACAGCACACCCCTCAGGGGATCTTAAAAAAAATTAGGTAGGGAACTAAAGTTGAGAGAGCTCTAAAAAGAGGAGCCATCATAAAAACTCAAAAGGGGAAGGGGCAAGACTAGGTGTTGCTCTTCTAAATTCCTGTATGTTTCATAATTTCAAAATTTAGGAGGAACATATGTCATATGTTAGAGGGCAGAAGTACCAAAATGTTAAGCACGTACAGGGCTAAAAAATGAAAAAATGTTTGAAGACATTAAAGAAAAAAGCTGAAAATTCCTATATCAGTACAGAATAAGTGAACTATACATAAAAGCAATGTAGGGTAGAAAATAATTAAAAACCGTATACAAAATGTGTCAAAATGTGTGACTCAAAATCAGTTTACCAGTCATCTTGTATCTCTCGCTCTGCCTAAAAAATTTAAATATTACAAATTCTAACATATAAATTTACACTAATGTATTTTAGAATTTGACAGTGAATTAGTCCAAGGGATTCAGCAACTTGTATTATATCATACTATGTTTCACAAAGAATACTCGAATTGGATGAGCTATTCACTTTAGTAAAATATTCAAAGTGATGCTGTCACCTATAATTTACCTTATACATTTTCAGTGGAAATGAAAAATCATGACTTATTAGGCCTTTTCTAAAGGCAGAATTTCATTAAGTCTTTAGATAGGATATGAATTAAACTTTTCAAATACAGGGTAGACTTTCTTTCTAAAGCTCTCTCATATAAGCTACAAAAGAGAATTAAAATGAAAGAGATTTTCAAGGTATCCCAGTACAAAGGTTAAGGGCTCTACCTAGTTATATTTAAGGAAACAATTCCATCCCTTGGAGAGTGCTTAGAGCACAGGAAAATAATTTGGAAAAGGAAGTGTTCTACTCTTCTTATTTAACTAGGAAGGTGAACAAAAACAAGGTGGCAATTTCAAAGCAGCGAGGTAATAAAGCAGGTGTAAGTAACGCTATCCTCCACCTTACAGCCAAGAGAAGGAACACATTTCCATAAAAGTTATAGAGCTGTCAAGGGGACACCAAATGCTACCTTCTTATGGCTGTTATGTTTTATCTATAAAGCTTGGATACTGTGTTACTATGGTGATTTAATACTATGTTTTAAAGGGGGATTATATGATTAATTTTAACAAGGTTGAGAACTGAAGATGTGTGAGAAACAGGATTCTAGCTCATATAATTGAAGTGATCAGGGAGAAAAGTGGGCCTCAGTGGGGAAGGGGAGCCTGTTTTTATTAAAATATTTAAAGCAACAGGTCTGGATACGTCTAAGTTACAAATAAGGTTCTGCTTTTCTGAAATACTACTATGTGTTCATACCATATATGATTGCTTGTTATTTTAACTTGAAGTTGATTTTACTTCTAGAATGTACAAAATGAATACTCCTACTAAAGAAAGATATTGATAGGACTGGGTAAAAAGACAAAACAAAACAAAATACAAAGCAGATCTCTAGAAAAAGGACGTAGAATGAAAATGACCGTAAATTGGCTGTCACTGATTTCCCTCCTCTCTTCACACTGCCACTAAACATGTTGAGAAATGTGCCTAACAACACTGTAAGTTCAAAGCAGGCCTCACTGCTTATTGGCTAGGTTCAAAGCCAAACTCAGCCATTGCTAACTGGGCCCTAGCTTAGCAAGTTATTTAAAACCAGCTTTAAGTAACTCAGATTCCTCACCTGGAATAATAAAAAGGATGATTTGGGAATCAGTGGATAACTATTTATTATGAAGTCCAGTCCTTAGTATTAATAATTAAAAGGGAGGAGGCAAGTTGTCACCAACTGAATTGAAGGTAAAAATTCACTTGAAGGCTATGGGTTTGCATAGAATCTTCCTGACTGACATGGCTTTATAGCACCTACGAGTAGAAGTAATAATTCTGCCTTGCTTCTCTTATCTGTGCTTTCTTTTCCCCCCTGTAAGAGTAATTCTCTGGGGGGCCAAGTGATTCAAGTTTGCATTAAAATGAGTAAGTCTTTTTGGGTGTTGCAACTCAGAAGGAGACATGTATTATTCTCAATTGCGTTACCTTTTTAAATTCCTAGTAGGGTCAAGTACAGGTCATCAAAAACTCAAAACCAGCTGACTCAAATTCTCCCACCCTGAACAATTTCAATAAACTAAGTCTGTTGGGAGCAGTGAAACAGAAGGTTCTGAATCTTCAAGGAATTTACCACTTTTCACTAGCTGGGGTAGTCTTTTTTTTTTTTCTTCATTAAAATGACTAGAGGGTCTGCTTCCTCAAAAGTTTCAGTTCATTTCCCTCCAATATCAGCATCCATAGGTTCTATAAGAATCAGTGATTCCATAACGATGAAAGCAAGAGGAACTATAGGAACCATGTGATGCAATTTTCTTGTTTTATGGGTGGGAAAACTGGGGTTTAGGGTTTTGTTCTGGTTTCCAAAGCAATTAGGACTAGGGCAAAAATCCAAGGCAACTTGTGGTTCAATGTCCTTTCTATCCCACCATGCCATACTAAATACAAGGCCAGCCCTACCTGAGAAGTCTCACCTCAGGTTAAGGAACTGAAATATGTGAAGAATGCAGAGTTGTCTTAGCAAATGGACTATAATTCCCATTAAGCTACAGAAAGCACATTTGAGCATCTCCAGAAACAAATTCAGATGACCAGGGCCAGGATCATCCTTACATGCTCTTTCCATGCTTAGGTGAACATGCAAAATAAGGATCAAAACAAGAACTGTTCAAACCAAGACTTTCCCTTCATACTAACCTCTAATGCCTGTCAACTGCTTAAAGTTCCTCTAGTTATATTCTGCTTAGTACTGAAGTTGCTTACAGGTTCATTGCATGAATAGCAAGAAGGATGTAGATACACAGTTTGAGTCCAGTCTTTTGATACAAAATGAGATTTTACATGTCAGTCTCACTTTAAGCTTAACCATTTTGCAAACTGAACTACAACTACACAGGGTGCTGCAGTAAGTGCCAGAACAACAACACTGACCAAATACACAAAGGGGCCCTGCCTAAAGCCTACGATCAGCGGCTTCTCAGGGATGACAATACTACAGAAAGGATGGGATGGAATGACCACTCCAGGAGCAAGGGACTGGGTATTTCAGGCAAAGAAAGGAGTTGTGCCAAGATTCTGGGGGTTAGAAGGAGCCAGTTGAGCTCACAAATGAAAAGAGTAGCAGGAGAGAGCTAAAGTACAGGGGATGAACAACGGCATCATATAAGCTGCTACACAGAACAAGCACCAGGCTATACAGAGTACCTCATATATAGGTCATGGTAAGAAATTAACTTTTGGGGGTAGGTGAGGATGGGGACTGCAAAGAGTAATGAAAAGCCACTGAATTTTAATCAAGAGAAAACCATTGATCTGGTTCATAGTTTCAAAAATATGATCTCATTAATATGGATAACAATTTAAAAGAAGGCAGAAGTAGTAGAAGCCAAGAAAATAATAAGGAGGCAATGTAATACTCCAGGTGAGAGTGGATGGTGTCATAAACAGGGAAAAGAGAGATGGAGATGGGGTAAAGCACTCACTCAAGTCCTAGCAGGTTTGACTGGCAGTCTTGAAGACTGAGACTAAGGAGAATATTGCCATTTGATAATAGGAAAGGCTAACAACTTTGGGGGAAAGAGTCAAGAGTTCCACTTGAGATATTTAAGAAGTCTGTAAAATATCTGAAAAGAAATGTCAAGTACAAAGTTGAACGCAGTAGTTAGGAAATGTTTGGACTACAACTATAAAGTTGGAAGCCATCTAAATACAGTTGGTATTCAACATCATGGTAAAGATGACATCATTTTAGGAAAAGAACTCAGAGAAACAGAACATCATCTAGGACACATTCATAGAAATTCAAAGAGTGAATGAAAAGGGGACCATCAATGAAAGAAAGGAGAACTACTAGGCAGAACAAACAGGAGGGAGAGGTCTACTGTACTGATGCAGCAAAATGAGAAGAGGAAAACCATCTGTTACCATGAACAATATGGAGGTTTTGGATGACCTTGATAGGAACAGTTGTAGCTGAATGACAAAACAAGAGATTGAAGGGGGACTAAGGAATGCATTGAAGAGTGTAGGTAACTCTTTCAAAAACTAGAGAATCAGACATTAATTGAACGAGCAGTCAAAGGTGGGTATTATTTTTAGGATGGAGGAATACCAAAACTTGTTGTTAAGCCACTGGCAGTGACTTAAAAGAGTAAGAAAGTGAAACACTGAGAGCTCTGCTTTACATTAGAGTCTAGATACTCTACTAAGCTGTATGGGCACAGACAGATTACTATAGCTCTCTGATCTCTTCTGTAAAATCCAAACACTAATCACACTGCAGAGTGGTTTTGAGGATTAAAAATCATGACTACAAAGTAACTAGCACATACTTGGTACATATAAAAATGATCACTATTGTCATGCAATTATAAAATGTAAAACATAAAAATGATCACTACTGTCATGCAATTATTAAGACTGAAACTGAACAGGGTCCCTGTTGCTTCTTGTAGCTTCCTAGCAATTATCTGATGAGCTACCTACTGTCAAGTTATTCTCTCTTTGAGTGCTTGCACAGGATTAAGCAGAAGTCAAGCTTTATCAAATCTTATCTCCCATCTGGCAGTTCCATAAGCCACAAAGCTTTCTACCATATGCATACCTTGCATCTGCCTGGGTCTCAAGCTTCTCATCATCCCTCCTCAAAGATCCAAGTGTGAAGAATGACACAAACTCAAGAGTTCTGAGCACTCTCACTGCTAGATACAACACAACACTTACCTGCTCAAGAAACCCACAAGATAATTCTAAGAAAGAACAGAAATTTGTCCCTATCCTTGTCTATATGAGCCTGAGAAGTAAATTATGAATACCCATAGAATTTAAAAGTATTAAAACCAGGGCTGGAGAGATGGCTCAGTGGTTAAGAGCACTGACTGCTCTTCAGAGGACCTGGGTTCGAGTCCCAGCACCTACATGGAGGCTACGAACCGTCCAGTTCCAGGGGAATCTGAAGCCCTCTTCTGACCTCCGCAGCATTGCATGACACGGGTGCACTCACATACATGCAGGCAATACACTCATACACATAAAATAAAAATAATAAATAAAATATTTTTTAAAAGTATTAAAACCATAGGCACAGTAAAGAACTTACCAGAACCCTTGTTTTATCTATAAGGAAATGAAGACCCTCAGGAGAGAAACCATATGCCTCCCAGCACACAGCAAGGCAAGGAAAGCACTCAAAGAAAAACCTAGATCTCTCAACATCCACCCCAGCACGCTCGCTGTCCACTAATGCCAGTGGCTCTGCTGTTATCGAATGCTGTGGAAATTATCATGAGCAATAGCCAAATCCATCATTCAAACTAGACTAAGGCACTGAAATCTAGCAGAGTAAATATATGGGGGCAGGAACAGAAGGATGGGAAGATCTGCACTAACGGACCAATCAAGACACCATCTTCTTCAGTTATCTAAATTTTCTTCTTTCAACAGTAAATATATATTGCTTTTGAAATAAATTATGCTGTGATCAATCTAATGGCAGGAGTATGGTAAAACAAAAAAAGAAAAAGGTGGTAGAATTGGAGGTCGGATGGATGAGGAGTTTCAAAAGAAGTTCTATCAATACACTAGGAGCAGGACCCTGAGTGTGTTATTGAACCTGTCTGGGCCTCTGATGCCCATACTGATCATGGTAACACTACAAATGCCTAATGTTTCAGGAGAGAACACTGCACAGTGCCTATCAGATAACAGATACAAACTAAAATGCCAAGTAATATCTGAACCTTATCTTTGCATCTCTGGCTCCATCCTTAACCAGTAAGTGATGTCTCTGCCCTGGAAAATGCTATTATTTATTTTTTAAAAAATATTTTATTTATTATTTTTATTTTATGTGTATGAGTGTACTACTTGCATGTATGTAAGTGCAGTCATGTTGTGCAATGCCCGTGGAGGTCGGAGGAGGGCATTGGATAAAGAGCAATCAGTGCTCTTAACCACTGAGCCATCTCTCCAGCCCAATTTTTAAAAATATTTTATTTATTATTTTAAAATGCTATCATTTATTTCATTCACCTGTCATTGGTGGGTACCAATGTATTTACAGACAACTGAATGGAAGCTGATTTCCTGAGTTCTGAACAAGGACAAAAAGGACTAGCTTGTCTTCCAATATACCTCAAGTGCTTTGACTAACTGGTTAGTTGTTAGTTGTCAGCTATCAAGTGCAAGCAACTAGCAATCATGATATGGAATGGGGCATGTCATTTATTTACTTTAAGACAGTGCTTTCATCAATAATAGTGAAACATCTTTGAGTCAATGCAGGAACTTGGCACTAACAGTTCACTATTCCTACCACCAAGAGTTTCATGAAAGTAGAGGTAGAAATAACTCTGAACTGGGAATAAGAGTATCTGTTCCTTCCCTGGCACTGTAATTATATGGTTGTAAAAAGCAAATATGCTCTCTCTGTGGATCTTGGTTTCTCTTCTGTAAAATGGGCTGTTTGAACTGAATGATGCTCTGCTTTAAGACCCTGCAGTCCTCTCCCACACAGTTTCAAGCCCCCTGTGGTCAGAGCCTAAGCTCTCACAGTGCATGTCAGCCTCCCCAGCAGGCTCCATCTGCTCCGGCTGAATATTTCCAGGGTCTCAGGGATTTATTCTCCTCTGCTCTGTCCTCAATAGTGCATATGAGGCTCTCTTTTCTACTTCTTTCTGGCCTAGCAGATTCAACACAAGTCCTGTCTACCATAACAAATTTTCTCTGACCATTTTAGTCTTCTCTAAGCTTTCCATTCTTTCAAACAGTGATTTAAATGCCTTTATAACACTTCTTGGACTAAACTGGGAAACACAGAAGACAGGGCTTCAAATCTGAGACCATTCCCATATTATGAATATAATCCAACATAATATTACCCATTCTGAACCTTCCTGTGCTCACCTAACTATATCCTGGAGCTGCTAAGAAGCAGCCAGGCAGGGCACAACACTTTGACTAGAATCATTTAGACACTTAAATGCTAATTTTCTTTCCTCCTTCCCTCTATTTCTCTACTTTTGGTGACTGATCTTCCTCCACAAAGTGAACTACTGAAAAATGTATTCATCTGGGAGATGGAAATCTAGGCTAGGCTGTAAGCCTAACAGGACCTTGGGCAAGTCATAATTCCTCTACACTCAGACTGTTTCAAATGAAGAACTTGTACTTGCTCTTATTAAACTAGGATGATAAAATGAGATAATATGGGAAAAAGTACTTTCTTATGAAGAGCTACTAGCATTATTATTTTTCATAAGTCCTAGTTTCAGAAAGAAAAATCTTAAAACAACACAAGAGACAGCAAGATGTCAATGTTAACAGGCGATTTGATGATGCCTGTGAAAATCCCACTCTTGGTACAGACTAGAAATGTCAGAAAGTTGTATTACTGTTCCTTAGGGTAGAAAAGCACAGACACTGAAAAGATTAGGAAGCTTTCTGTTTTGAATGCAATCACCTGGGGCACTGCTCATCTCCCATGCTGGTCTATTTGCTAAGTCAAACAATATCATAAACACATCTGGGGAAACTTGAGGGCCTCAGAATCTGAGCACATCTATTTGACAGTGTTAACTGCCAGTAAAAAAAAAAAAAATCCTGACATTAAAACCTTTATATTTCTTGTAAATGAATGTGATTGTGACTATCTCTTCTGCATGAAAGTATGCCAACCATAGAAGTGCAAAAGATATAAAATAGACTCCCAAGTAAGCCGGGATCTTCTTTGTTCTATTTGATTAAGGTATCAACAGAAATTACCAATACCTTTAGGATATGGAATACAATAAAACATGAAGAACTATTACACATGATTTCAAAATGTATCCCCTAATTATGTTGTGAAAGAAAAAAATGAGGAATATAATCAGTGTAATTTGGAGAAATGTGTTTTAGAAGTAATATATTTTCCCAGCAACAATAAGAAAGCATCCTATATTATTAGCTTAAAAAAAAAAAAAAGATTTTAGAATTCTCACTGAAGGGATTCTACTTTTCTTCCATTTTAAAACATAATCTTCCAGAGAAGTAGGTAAGCAGAGTATGGTATAAACAAGAGTGTGTGTGGTGTGAATTTGTATATGCACACACACTGCATTAGGGTAGGGCTAAGATTTTATCTCATTGTGCATTTCTTTTACTATTAGTTTGCAAAGTCAATTAAGGAACACTTATCCAAAACAGATCACTACTCTAGAAAGAAGTCATGTAAAAATGTCTTCTTACATATTTTTGTTAAACGTCTAACTACATTTTAAAACATTTCAACTTTATTACTTTGTATGAATATGCCTTGTCATAATTTGCAATATTGTTCATAAGTGGCTGGAGACTTCATGCATTGCTAATTCATACATATAAATGTGAGGTTTGCATTAAACATCTCTAAACAACAATATTCTATACTTCTTTGCTATTTTTAGAAGGAACAGGATAAAAAAGAGAAGGGACTCTCATAACAAAGACTAACCCTCTTAAAATTAAGGTTATTCTGTTTGGAGCACCAACCTGTTTCTAAAACATCCTGGTGCCCAAGTTTAAAAAGACCTGGGTCTGGAAATACTACAATGGTTGGTTGGCTTAAAAAATAACTTGTGAGAACCAGGGAGAACAGTGATGATAAGTGGCTGGCAGCATTCCAGAGTCACTTTATAGGACTCTTAAACTCCACTGGCTATGGATTCTCATCCCATACCACTTTCAGGCTTATGCCAAATAAGCCAGGACACTGGTGTTACGAAGTATAGAAAAGATCTCAGCAGCACACTACCCACATGTACTCTAAACCATCCAGATCTTCAGATCCTGCTTCGTTTGTTGATGCTAAAAATACACAATCTTCCTCAAGATGGGCACATTATACAGCTTTCTTGGAATATGCTGTGAACTGTATTAGCCATGATCTGTATTTTCTACAATCTCTCTGTCACTAAAAATGGAATAAAAATAACACAAATCTATATAGTCTCACAGTTCAACTTTCCATGAAAACTGAAAAGAAACAACAATCAAGTAGACGAATGATCACAAAAAAATAATGCTTTGCTGGAATGAAAACCACAGTAGACATTTCTTGAAAATAGGATAAAAGATTACTGTCCTGCATTTTACTAATGTTATAGGATATAATGTAAATTATAGTTATTAAAAGTTCTTTGAAAATTGTTACCATTAAACAGTGGTAACAACTATTTAACAACAAAACAGCCCTTAAACTATTTTAATTATCTTGGAGGGCTTATATTGTACCTTTCCAAGAAATAGTTTCTCATAGCATGACTACTAAGCAAGTGTTTAGAGGGTTGTGTATTTTTTAGTACTCATGCCTATAGAAAATGCTGATTTCCCTGGAGATATATAATTAGCCACTTAAACAAAATGTAAAACACCTTTTAGTAATATATCTTTTAAGTAGCTAAATTCCTCTAAATAAGATAGGTCTATACCTATTTAAAGTTGAAGTCAATGAAAAACAAACTCTAAGACCATGTAGTCATGTATTACTTGCTTAAGTCAAATATATTAATATTTAAATAAAAATTAAATACCATTGGATTAAATGCCAACCATTCTTAATCATGATTTTAGTCTGATAACCAAAAATCAAAATTTTAATGGCATACAAGTTATATCTCACAAACTACACAAGACAAAGCTCTCAGCTTTAAACTTTTTGATAGTGTCAATAAAATCCCCAGGAAAGGAGAATACTGCAACACTCCATGGAACATAGGTGTTTTAAATCATGGTTAAACAGACAGAATGTTAAGAATGGTATGGTTTTTATTTTCTATAGCAGGTTTATTGACACTTTTTTTCCTAATAAAGTTTGAAAAATCTGACACTACCTGTCCACATAGAAGGGGAAACAAAACTTGGTCAAAGTCTGTAGAACTTCCTGTGGAGAGAAAGAGAGATAATTTATACATCTAATGGGACCAATAAATCTAATATTAACCACAGCACACCATCTAGCAACTTTACCCTAAAGAAAGAGGAGACAGATGAAGAAATATGAGCTTTATCAATTACATGGGAGGAGTACCAGGCAGTCAATCATGAGAAATAATAAACATGATCAAACTTCATTAAAAATGAAAAATTAATCAAGAATCACACATGGGCAAGCAGCAGGAGCCATGCAGGAAAGCTCCGGAGGGAGGGAGGCGCTTGGGTTGCTGAGTGTTAACACCCCTCCAGGGACCATCTCCAGCCTGACCATATGGATCAGAGTGAATAACACCGAGCCACATGGGTTTGGCCTGGCAGGGCCGCTGTTGCTGGCACTGTTTGTGCCTGTTACCTAGGAACAGAGGGGGCCGGGATTAGACAACACTTCCCAACATCAATAGGCCAAATTGCAACAGAACAGAAAGCCAACTTGAAGATAAATGTTCTTGAACATTCTCAATTACATTTTTAGAGTTTAAAACTTCTTTTTCTTACTATATCAAGTAGTTGCCATTTCTGGCATAAAGTAATTCTGAAATCAAACTATGATCACTCTAAATATGCACTGTTTTTAGTGAAGCATCATTAAAATAATTAAATATACTTACCTGCTTGTAATTTATGACAATCTAAAGCAAACCACCAGTTTCAGTGCTTTTTTTTCTTCAATATACAAATATAGAGGTACATCAAGTAAAATACATTATTCAGGAAGGGCATGAAAAGTAGTGACATCTCAAAAGCTTATCCATAAAAAAAAAAACAAACCTTCATACACTAAGACACTGGGACAGGCAACACAATATACAGTGGTGTGAGACTTTTCCTAATAAACACACTTTACATACACACATGTGCACATAGCTGAGCACAAATACAAGTAATTATCTACTACTTCCTTCAGATGACTTTCTGTAACTCGACTTGATTTAACTGTAGGCCTGGACAGCCAACAGTTGGTCCTTATCATAAGTTCATTGACCAATATTATAAATTTTAAAAAGTTCTCCTTTCATGCATTTGATTTGCTTTTTAACTATTTAAAATCCCAACCTCAAGACAAAATGAAGAACACATTTTTTTACTCATTGAGAAGCTGGTTCAAATTAAAATAAACCTGCCCATTGGAAATACTAACCCCAGTGATAAATTAAAAATCAGTTTACAAATGTGGTACTTTTTAAACCAATAATAATGAATTATCAATGCTAACTGAATTGATGCTTCTCGCTTCATTTATTTTTAAAACCAGTTCTATCATTCAAGAAATAAACCACATCAATCTAATAACCCACTCAATGAAGCAGAAAGCACATGGACTTGCTCTGCCAGAGCATGTTCCGCCTACATAATTCAATTGAGCATATCCTATTTTTTAATATCATCTTGGACTATTACTACGTATGTCACAGCACTGTTAAGGCATGTCATAAAAGAGTAGGGAAAAAGAAGCAAAAAAAAAAAAAAAACATGAAAAAGAGCCTCAGCATATTCTAGGAGGCATTACCCATCAATTACAGAATTTTATACAGCATTCAGAAGTCTGCCTGTTTTGTTTTTAAACCTATTGTATAACTAATAGAGAGCATCAATCAGGACTGGTTTCTTAGTGCATCTTATTATCAGGTAAGTGCTAGAAAAGAGATATAAAGCATTCATTTTAATGTAACTATAAAATATACTATAATCCATAGACAAAACTTCTGTGACATCCATGCAAAAAGAAAAAAATTCTTTCTATTCCAAGTTCCAAATAAAACCACAAAGCATCTCTTAACTTAATACACATTCTTTAAAATTCAGTACCAAGTGCTCACCCATTGCCAACATCAGCTACAAAGGCAGTCATCTTTTACTCCTTAAAAGTTTCAGGTGCAGAAAGCACTTCTCTACTCTATGCTGGAGCTGTGCTGGCAAAAGGCCTCAAAGATTTTTGAAAGAAAGGACCCCCATGGCTACGAGAAAGCATTGTGCTCTACAGCAGAGTCAAAGGAATCGAATATGCCCAACTTATTACTTGCTACAATATAGAAACTACTTACCACTTTCTAATGTCAAGAGTAATGACCAACCATGATCTTGTCTGCCAGATAATATTAGAACAAATATGGAAATACCCAACATAGGCTGAGTATAACCTACCCCCCATAAGCTTTCCTTTTATCCAAGAAGGCAATGGGACAGCGGAACAGGAAGGAAGAGGAAATACAGGCAAATGTAGGCATATTTGTATGTTACAATATGTTTCTGCATTTTTTAGATACTACAGGAGCTTGATATTTCAATTTAAGCAAAACATGATGGTGGTGCGCTGTCAGAGAAAAACAAAAATGAGCATCTACTTGGTGAGACACAGAATCACATGATCTCAATCAGAAGTAAAATACCCACTTCTTAGTTTAAGAAAGGGAAGACAAGAGGGAGGGGAAGCAAGCAATGTTCTTTGTAAATAAAAGCTGTTAATTTTCCAAATACTGACACTTTCTTCATATATATATTTAGTTACCTTGTCCTTTGTCCAATGAAAAACACAATTATTCAAATACGGAAAGGCCACTCTCGAAGGGGGGGGGGGTGTAAAACCCTGATTTGAATATTTTTTGAGCCTTCTAGTGATGGCAGAGTATTCCAGAATCTTTCAAAACTAATTTTCCTGGGGAAACACTCAACAATCAGTTACCAAACCCCTTTTCTCTCGAGGACAGCGCCTGACTAGGGAACTTTGTTTGTAGATGTCAATTGTGCTGTTTTCTCCCCCACACAGCTCTTGCAGATGGACAGCCTCAGAGTTCAGACTCCACTACTTCCACACAAACAGGATCTTGGAGATGCAGCACAGCTGATGAAATGTAAATGACCTCATTGCTGAGGCAGAGGAGGGAGGCCTGTGCCAACTCACCACATCAATTCCCAAGCTTATATTTCCACAAATCTTTTTATGTAGTTTGATTTTTAAATATTTTAATGAGAGAGAAAAAAAGTGAATCTATAGTAGCCAGTCACCACAGTTAAAGTGAAGGGCATGAACTAGATCCCAGGAGGGAACCAGTCCACCATGTCACCACTGGCTTTAGGACATTCGCCACCTGGTTCCATTTCCCCAGGTTCCAACTCTTTTCATAATCAAAACACTACTGACATTATAAACCCCAGATGGGTTTTCTAAAATCCCTCCCAATCAATATATCCAACACATAACTTATTGGAGACAACACTGAGCTCATTGATTAAGGTGAGATCAGGAGCAAAGTTTTCAAAATAAATGAGACAGAATACAGCATCCAAACCCTTTGTGTCACCAGACAATTTATGAAACAGACCATTTCCAAAAGGGCTTTTTTTCCTCTAACACAATACCTGATACTTCATGTGGGAAGAAATAGGAGCTGGGGTGGAGGACAGTAGGGAGAAAGTATGGCTAGGAGGCGATCGCATAATCCTTTCAGTTACGCATATATTAAACAGCCAACTGCACAATGGAGCAGGAAAGCAACATCTACAAAGCTCTGTCTACCAGGAGGACCTGGAGCTTCAGAGGACCAAACAAAATATGAAGCTAACATAGCTAAGGCTGGACAAAATGAAATTTGGAAAGGAATTCAGGGTTCATTTTAGTATATTCTGGGGTCAATTTATCCAATGTAAATTCTCACCCTGGTCAGAAAGCCAGTCAAAGGAATTTGCTCCATTCTGAAGAAAGAAAAGTATGTTCTGGCCCTGAGACAGTCTCTTCAAACCTAGTTAAGCTTTACATTTATAATAACTTATAGAATCCTATCTGGGAGCAAAGCTTTGAAGACTAAATTCAATAGATCATCTGGGATTATTAATCATGAGGTTTGACCAGTTCACCCTAAATTTGGACTGCGAGGCAGGATATGTGTAAGCGATCCTGTAACAGTTGTCATAGCAGGTATAAAACACCTTGGTTTTGTTGTTTCAGTGAAACCTATGAACAAAAACTAGTTTTATTTGACAGATGATGAAAACAATGGTCAGACATAGGCATACACACTCCACAAATAAATGCCATCTGTTGGTTATGATGTCTCCTGGAGATACAGAATGTTGGGAGATAAGGTACATCGTCCATAGTTCAAAGGTGGGGGGAAAATGGGTGCAGAAAAACATCTAAATAAATAAATATTTGAGAAAATAAATATATACAACTACAATTAGGCTTTTAGTGGATTGCTAAGAGCAGATGGGGCAGAGATAGTTTACGGGGGTGGGGGGGCACGATGGACACCTGAGGAAGGAAAGACGAGGGGAGCCAGTGGGAGAACATTTCCTGGATCCAATTTATTTGTTCATTTCAAAATGTAGGTATGTGATGAAAAGACCAGTGGAGCTCAAATTCCTAAAGTACTATGTATTTGTACACTGACCCTCCAAGTCCTGCAAGCTGAAAGCACTGGCACTGATTTGAAAGAAAAGCCTTTGATTGACGGTCTTAAACTCAGGTTCAAAGTTATGGAGCACACACAATCCAAACATGCAAAAAGCTAACAAAATTTGTACTTTACTCTATTTCAAGTTAAAGCCAGGGACTCCAAGGGAAAGTTAAAGGTTTTAAATGTTTATGATTAAGAAGGGTAAAGCAGAAGTTCTTGGAAGCTTAATTAGCATGAAGTTCAAGAATGTTAATCAGAAGTTTCCTAAACTGTGAAAACAGAAAATAAAATTTTACTCTTTTGTCATAAGCATCAAATCAAATTCAGAATCCATATCATGGTTTAAATCATTTTTTAACCCCCAGTGAGGAAAGAGGCTTTGAATAAAGGATTTTACAGAAAGGCTTTTCAACAATGAACATAGAAGCTAGGTCAATTTTCTAACAACACTACTTGAACATTACTGTCTGCTAACTTTCTCTTTTAGGAATATTCAGTATTTACTCCGGGTTTACTTCTTATACACTTTAATTTTGAGTCATATATATGTTAT